CGGACGGACGGATGGACGGACAGACAGACGGACATGGCTAGATCGACTCGGCTATTGATGCTGATCAAGACTATACTTTATGGGGTCGGAGATGCTTCCTTCTGCCTGTTACATACATTTGGATTTTGCACAAATACAATTTACCCTTATACCCATTTTTAATGGGTTCAGGGTATAATCAGTAAGATAGTGTAAATAGCAAAACAAAACCGCAATCTAGTCAGTGAGGACGTATTCAAACCTGGCCCACAAATGCTAGCTGTCCATATGATTTTTGCTATTGTGGCTGGCAGCCAGTCGCAACGTTCGTGGCCCGAGCAATTGCAGCAAGTCTGTGCTGTAGGGGATGACCCCGAGGCGGTGCCTAAGCACGCTAAGATCACACGCGAATATATCACATGGAGCTGGACAGCGTCTCACAAGTCCAGCTCTGTCGAGCGAGTGATTCGTGTGGGTTCATGAAATAGGCGCGCGTGCCTGGCCAGAAGCTAACAATTATATTGGTCGACCTCGATGATCTGCTGCAGTTACAACGTGAGCCATCGCAGCATACTGAACTACAACTTGGAGGGCCCCACTCTATTGAACTGGCGCCAGAGCACACGTCTGCGTTACTTTCACAACGAAAGGATATATGCTTTCCATTGGTGGCATGGATTAAGCAGTCAAGAAGTGCCCATCGGATGATTTTATTTATAGAGTGTGACACACACGCTGGCGAGCGCGGATTGCACCTGCTGTAGCCACTTATTTTATTGATCGGCTGCTGCAGTTCAGCGATAACTTGGCGCAGCGCTTAAAACTGGTTGATCTTTCCCACGGTGAGTCCGGATGGCTATCACAGCAGCTAAAGATCGCATGCAGCTTTAAATTAAGCGCAGCTTAGTAAGTTAGTATGCAGCTTATCAAATCGCTTTAACTGCTCGGGTGCGGGAAGTAATACCCTCTACTCAACGAGTAGAACCCCGAATCTGAAGCTTTCCAGTTGAGGGCTAGCTCAGGTCAACCCTCAGTTGCACACGTCACGAGATCTCGGAAATTTGCTCAGTTTGCCAACCAAAGGCGCGGGAAGCCTTCGCAGCGCCGCAAATAATCATGACTTAGCCCAGTATCCAGCAAGCAACTGCTCCAACATCATCAATGGCAGCAGCAGCAGCAGCAGCATCTGATGATGATAAATGTGTCGTCTGGTCCCTGGCAGTTCACATGAAAAACACATTACGCGCCAGCGTTTCTTAATGTACAATAATGATGGAAAAATCATGACACAAGCCTCACAATAATGTTGATAAATCAAAGCAAATATATAAGCACAGACGGGCCGCAGAGCTCAATAGAAATATGCGCTTACAGTTACAACCAATTGTTGTTGTTGTTATACCCTAAATGAGAGCCAGAGATTCTAGACACATGAGCTGGCCCATGGAGCATAAGCATTCCACCTAGGGACTCAGGTCTTAAAAAGGCGCTTTTGTGACTTTGATGTGGGAAACAATTCCAGTAGGGCATACATTGTTCGGTTCGTTATTATTATTATTTTATATTTTTTTGGTGTTGACATGGCCAGAACCGAAGCAGACACTAAAGTTATGAACCTGCGCCGCTCTGCTATAACAGGCATATACATGTGGCTCGTAGCAAAACAACTGCAAAAAAATGGCTAGCAACACGTTGCCAGCCACCGCCGCAGACTTGTTGACGGCAGCTTTTGTCTTGGCTGCCTTATTATACCCTGTGCGGTGTGAAAGTTGACAAAGGGTATACGCAGTGTGTTATACAATAATACAAATTGGGAGTCTTATAGATAACCTACCTATCCAGTTTTTCAGACAATTGAAGAACTAAAAGCCACTGCTCTTTATAAGTAGGGTATTCAGTGTCTAACATACAGTCAAAACTTTTCTAGTGGTCACTTTTTTAAAACCATTTTAAATTAAGCTGCACCCTGCTTCCCCTCTACCCGGCGAAGACTCCTCTTGAGTGTGAAACAAATACCTGACATTCGATGCTCGCCTAGCAAAGTTTTCATTGTATATCCTTTGCTTTTGATAAAAATATAAATTTGCTTAATTGGTCTCTTAATCCTACTAAGCTATAATTTTAAAATTTGGTTTTAACTTTGGTAAGGACTCGTTAGTTTTAATGAAAGCTCTTCGTGCTTCATCTTAGACCCACATAATAATGCAGTAATAGAATAAATAAAAACTCACCATAATGACTTGTTGTTGTACACTGAACACAGGGTATTTGCTAGTCTATCAATAAAACAAATCCATTTAATGCTTGCCTTATCGATGTTTTGTTGTTGTTGTTGTTAACTCTTGTTGTTTAAGCCATTAAAATATATAGTTAGTGTTATTGCTGTCAATATGAGGTTGGCAGTGGATCGCAGAGGGGTAAAAACAACACAGCACATGTCAGAGCGTTTGGCTGTTAATAATGTTGCTGCTGGCTACAAAAGTTGCTGATGCTCGTTGCTGATGATATTGATGTAACCATAATCACGATCTAATTTATTTACAAATTTTTGTGTTGAAATCATACGTTCGAAGTCGTGTTTAAAAGGTTCTTTATGATTTATGCGCGCGTTGAAATGCCAAAATGTGTGCAAAAACTTCTCACAGCCTCAAACGATAAACAGTGGACTCTATTGATTGGCATTGTCCAGAATGCAGCTGGGTCAGCTGATCCCAGGCACTGTCTCCGCTGTGCGCCGTCATGTCCGGGAACCGCTTTGAAGCGTTAATTTAGATGTATGGCACAAATCGCAACTAGCTTGATGCGTGATGCAGCCGCCAGGCCATGAGCAGCCGGCTGCCACCCAGCAAACGCAACTGGGCAATTGTTGCATGTGGCCCATTTGTCATGCAGCAGCGATCGTGTGCTGGGACTTAAGGTGTGCGGTGCCAGGTGAGATGCGGCGCAAGGTAAAAGCAAAGGCTCTGCATTAATCTCTGCATAGTCTGCATAGTCTGCAAAAATGTTGATAAATTAGTTGATTGTTGATTCCATGCGGCAATTGATGCAGTTGCTGCGATACTTGCACTCATACCATGTCACTGTGCCAAGGAGTACCCAAATAAACATATCAACATGATAAATATGCGGCCCATAAGCAACTGCAGTTATCCGAGTGTCCGGGCTACACGCAAAGCGAAGGACAAGCGCATAAATCAGTTGCCTTTTTTAATCGCTGATTTCCGCTTCGTTGGAAATGAAAACAGAGACATGCAGCAATGGTCAGAAAACTGGTTTGCCGCCAGTTGAGTACAGGGAGGATGATCCCAAGGCATACCGGAGGAAGATCTCATCAGAACCGATGTGACTGCCCTCGTACACTGGACAAAACTGCGGCTGCGGTTGGTGTTTACATTAAAATGTTTACTAAAAATTACTTTGTTTATTAAATCCACACATTTGAATTAGCTTTGTTTTTATGTTTTTTTGTTGTTGTATTTATCGCAAACTCTGCACACTTGTTGCTCTTGTTGTTGTTGTTGTTGTTGCTCTTGGTAAACAGTAAAACTTAATTTTACATAACCTTTGCCTCGGAGAGATCATCCAGAGGCTTGGTCTGTGGCGGAATCTTGTACTCCGTCTCTGGCGTCTCATAGATCTTCTCTTCCTTGGGCTCAACGACAGACACATTGTCTGGCAGTGGCTTCTTGGGTCCAATCTTGTTCTTAGGATCGTACGGCAACATGATCTTAACCTTGATGCCCAGAACGCCCTGGCGCAGCAGAACGTGACGTGTGGCAGTCTCGACATAATCGTTGCACGGATCACCAGAGTGAATCATGAGTCCATCGACGAACTTCATCGACTTGGCACGCTGACCACGCAGTTTGCCAGACACAACGACTTCACAGCCCTTGGCGCCAGACTCCATGATGAAACGCAGCACACCATAGCAAGCGCGACGCACGGCCAATCCACCGGTCAGCTTGTAACGCAGCGATTCAGCCTGGGCGATGGCGCAGAGACCACGAGTGGCGACCTTCTCGGCGTACAGCTCAATGCGGCCTGTCTCGAAGTTGAAACGCTTCTGCACCATGGCAGTCAGCTCACGAATGCGACGGCCCTTCTCGCCCAGCACTTGTTGGGTCTTGGTGGCCATGATGATGATTTCAGTGCGGGATGGAGTCACACGCACCTCAACACCGGAGTAACCATCCTCGGCGAGCTCGCGAGTAAGGAACTCGTTCAACTCCGCCTTGAAGATACCGTCGGAGACGAACTGCAAAATGAGAGAATAACAATTGTTAGCCATGCATAACCCAAGTCTTAAGACATCACTTGCTTCACGACTCGCATTGTCTATGTCATTGTTGTTGTTGTTTTAACTGAGAGCATGACACGGGTGCTCCACGCCTGCCGCAGACGCCCGCGATTTGAGGTTAACTTTTGTTTAGCACTGTTTTTTGCGGCACCGCCGCGGATTCCTCACACAACTTTATGCACAAAACATGTGCGCAGGTGCAGTACACTTCTTAATTCGCTTTCCAATGCAATTTTCCTTTAATTACCTTACGTTTCTTCGAAATGTTTAGGTTCATGTTCATTTCATACGACTCGCACGGAACGTGGTCAAAAAGAAAGAAAGACAGCGACCTGCTTTACCGATAACATGGCCGTCGCATACACTGCTTTGCCACCTGTAGGGTTGCAACGAAAAACATACCGATTGCTATATTACAAATTTATCGACTTACGTACTTACTTAAGTAGCAGCATCTTACCACAGGAAATCGCCATCATGCCTATGCGACATCGTCGCCCAACTCTTTCTTAAGCTTTTTCCCAAATAGCGTGCACATCTGAATGTTTATCATTGAAAAGCTTAACATCGATTCCATTAAATCAACTCTAAACGATATTCGCACGGAAAAGTACTAAATTTGGACAAAGTAGTAATATTCACTTTATCGCTTGCCGCCACAAATTATTAACCCATTATCGATATGCACATTTATTGACTATCAATAGCTGCATCGATAATTTGCCAGCTGTAGAACAAAGCAGCAACAAATTGCGTATCTTAATTAAAAACGAAAATAAATAACGGATTTAGGAGGATTGAATCAGCAAAATGTCCGAAATAAAGGCGTTGGAGCACGCCACACTAAAAGTGCCATACGAAATACTTAATAAACGCTTCAGATCTGCCCAAAAGATTATCGACCGTGAGGTTGACCAAGTGATGAATGTTTCGCGTCAAGTGGAAAAGGCCTTGGACGCCGAGCAGCCGCCCATATTATCGGATGTGGCCAAGCTAATGGGCAATGTAGCACAAAAGCTTCAGGTTCTCAAGCGCAAAGCCGACGAGAGCATCAACGATGAGCTGAGCGTCACACAGATTTGCAAGCGCAAGCTAGAACATCTCAAGGGCATTATGCCTCGCAACGCTGACGAGGTGTGTCAGGGTTCGGTCGATCAATGGAAGCGTATTCGTCTAGATCGCTTGGTAATTGAGCATCTGTTGCGCATGGGCTATTACGAGACAGCCGAGGAACTGGCAGCACGCTCTGATGTGCGTAATTTGACAAATCTGGACATATTTCAAACTTCGCGTGAAGTGGAGGACGATCTGGCCAATCACAGCACTACTAAATGCGTGCTCTGGTGCATTGACAACAAGTCGAAGCTGCGCAAAATCAACTCAACCATTGAGTTTAGCCTGCGTGTGCAGGAATTCATTGAGCTGGTGCGTCAGAATCAGCGCTTCGAAGCTGTCAAGCATTCGCGACGCTACTTCCCAGCTTATGAGAAGACCCAATTGAATGAGATTTGTCACGTGATGGCCCTGTTGGCCTATCCAGCCGACACCGAAATGGAGCACTGCAAGAAGTACTTGGATCCCAAGCGCTGGGAACAGCTAGTGTTAGACTTTCGTCACGAAAACTATCGCTTGTTCCAGCTTTCAAGCACATCCGTCTTTTCGGCAGCCGTTCAGGCTGGTCTATCAGCGTTGAAGACGCCACAATGCTACTCTCAGACCTGCCGCAATCTCAATTGTCCTGTCTGCCAGGAGGATCTCAATCGGATTGCCCTCAAGTTGCCATACTCACACTGCGTGCAGAGTCGCCTCATCTGTCGCGTTACCGGTCTGCCGCTGAACGAGCACAATCAGCCAATGATGTTGCCAAATGGACAAATTTATGGACGGCTAGCTTTGCCGAAGATAACCAAAGAGGATGGCACCATGACATGCCCCGTAACCAATGTTAAGTTTACAAAGCCTAAAATCGACAAGGTATTTATCATGTAAACCGAATAGTCTGAACGGCCAGACTTTGTTTAAAATTAACCCTCTATACTATCATTATCATTAAGCCAGAAACGACTATATATATATATATTTTGTATAACTATATTTCTATTATGTATGTATATTTAAGTGGCGCTTAGGTTTTTCAACAACTGCGCGTTTGAATTTCGATTACGATTAGTTAGTTCTCGTCCACATTTGATTGTCGACGCTGCGCCGTCGCAATTCTATTGATTTTTTCGACTGCGCAGTCAGTAGAAGCAGAAGCAGCAGCAGCAGTATGTCGATGTTGATTCATGCTGTGTGCAACGCGGACGACGTTATTTAATTCCTTCCTAAGTGAAAACTATGCAAATATATCAGAATAAATAAAGAGAAACAAAATCACATAAATAATAAGCAAGGCTTGAAGGGTTTCCAATTGTTTGGGTCTCCAATTTCATTTGCACTTGGACTCTGTATTGTTGTTGTTACTCCTACCCAGCTCAGCTGCTAAAATGCATAGGATATTGTGAAAATTTACAAATCGCTGACGCGACCCACAATAATTAACGCAGCATCTCTAGCTAAACAGCTGCGTCTTCTCCTATAGTAATAACAACAACAAACAGATACACAAACACCATATACGTTCAACCCCTACGGCCGAAACCTCACACCACCACCTCCACCTCCACCTCTACTGACACCACCAAAAAACAAAAGCAACAACACAAGCCCATCTGTAACACTAAACCCGCTCAGAGCAATACGCAAAATGGCTTTGGATTTTGTGGCCACCTACAAAGTGCTGGTGCTGGGTGACTCCAACGTTGGCAAGACGTGCATTGTGCACAGATATTGTGATGAGAAATACTACGACACATACATCTCGACCATTGGTAAGTGTTGCGACAGGTGACATACATATACATATATATTCTTTTGTCTGGCTTGAATAACAGCATCATCCATCCTTCACCCACACAGGCATTGACTTTAAACAGAAACTCATTAATCTCGATGGTGTGCCCATAAAGCTGCAAATCTGGGACACAGCTGGGCAGGAACGTTTCCGAACACTAACCACAGCCTATTACCGCGGTGCCATGGGCATTTTACTTATGTACGATGTGACCAATCTGGAGAGCTATAACAATTTGTCCTATTGGTTGCGCAACATACAGGAGAATGCCTCACCCGACGTTGTCAAAGTGCTGGCTGGCAACAAATGCGAATGCTCAACGACACAGCGTATGGTGGACAAGGAGAGAGGTGAAAAGGTGGGTGGCAAATATGTAAAAAATATACTCAAGAATTGCTTATAGAAGCAGATAAAAGTGGTCTTAAAAATCTTCTCAATCAATACAGCTATACACATATACTTAGATAAACCCTTACTTATTACACTATGCAACAATACTGCGGGTGCCAATAAGTTTTCTTTTATATGTAGAGAACATACAGTAGCTTATAAATGCCCAGTTTTTTTCCAGATATATTGATAAGCAAGCATAATTTTTTGTACAATTTGTTATATCGGTCCAATCTTATCAGTTTGATAGGAATAATCTTAAACATAAGCAGCATAAGACTAATGCAAAGTCCTTTTGAAATTTATTACTTTTAGATTGCCGAAAACTTTGATATGCCCTTTTTTGAGGTCTCATGCAAATCGAACATTAACATTGAGGACGCATTTTTGTCGCTAGCTCGTAAAATACGCGAACAGCGCGAGCGACGGGTAAGTTAAAAGCAAAACTATTCATTCAGTAACTAATCCTAATCATTTGCAGGGCGATAACTTTGACAATGATGAGAAACAGGACAAGAAATCACCCGGATCGAATGGCTTAGGAACCTTCAGTTTGGGTAGTCTATCCGGTGATAATCGTTGCACCTGCTAAATTGCCGTCAGCAAATAGTAGACCATTGATCCGCTGTGTAACCTGAATAAGTTGTCCAAAGTTTTGCAAAGCATTGTACAGCCAGCAGCAACAATTCATGTAGCCAAGTTTGTGCATGTTATAAACCAATAACGATAAATTTATCAAAAAAAAAAAAAAAAAAAGAATAATAATTAAAAACAAAGAAAACATTTTAAATGCATAAAACATTCAAGTCAAGCCTATGTAAAACGTACAGATTGTGCATTTTTTAAGATAGTCCAAGAATAGCATAATAATTTTAGCATATTCGTGCAAATACATCAATAATAGTCGCGACATAATTTCTACATTAACTAACTCGTGTACTTATTAAGCTAAATAAGTCTATATATATATATAAATTATATATTAAATATATTGTATAAAAATCGTAAACATAGCTATAATGTTTGACGCAAATAACAAAATCTGAATGTAAGCCGCCTGTAACGTTTGTTACAATTACAAACTTTTAAAGTAAAGCAAACTTAATAAAGTCTATTTGGACTGGTTTTGCTTGGATCTGATCAATTATATATTCATAATACAGAAACTCAATTGGTCAATTTTTATTTCAAAATTTTCCATGATTAATGTGATACCAATCAAGCTGTCAATTAGCGCGGCGGAAAGAGTTCCTTTAGCCTGTGGCTCCGTGGCGCCTAGCAACCAAATTGTCCACAACGATGAGCGATGTCATATCTTATGAGGAGCAGAATAGATAGTTGAAGTTCGATTTTTGTGCTGCTTTGACAATCGTGACATTTTGCGCGGATGATATGAAAAAGTTTCGGAACAAAGCCAGCTCCTTGCCAATCTTTAATGGGCGCATTACAGATGCAACCACGTTGACAGCTACATCGCTGCAGTTGCCGCTGGTTGGTCCACAGCAGAAGCAGCACGGTTGCCGCAAGCTCAGCTCTCGCGCTATACCCACAGTTTTCACCATAACCGACGGCAACACAGGCACGCCCAGCACATCGCTTGCTAAAGCCATGGCAATAAACCATGTGCCACATTCGCCGGATAAGCCGTTGCAGCAACTGGAGGTGCCCAAGGAGGAGCTGAACATAGCCGGAACCGAACTGGCCAACTACGAAAAGGTGCGCGTTGTCGGTCAGGGCTCGTTTGGCATCGCAATTCTGTACAGGCGCAAATTTGATGGCCATCATATTGTGTTTAAGCAAATCAATTTGAGTGAGCTAACGCCCCCGGGTCGCGATCTGGCCATGAACGAGGTGGAGGTGTTCTCCAAGCTGCATCATCCAAACATAGTCAGCTATCTGGGCAGCTTTATAAAAGATAATACATTGCTCATCGAGATGGAGTATGCGGATGGTGGCACCTTGGCTCAAATAATTGCTGACCGACAGGGCACACAACATTTTCCCGAACGCTATATAATCGCCGTCTTTGAGCAGATATCCAGCGCTATTAACTATATGCACTCGGAGAACATTTTGCATCGGTAAAGAGCAGTCTTTTCAGTATACAGCAATATATCTGTAGTGTTTGGCTATTTACAGCGATCTGAAGACGGCCAATGTGTTCCTCAACGGGCGTGGAATCGTTAAGATTGGAGACTTTGGCATATCCAAAATTATGAACGCAAAAATTCATGCACAGACTGTGCTTGGCACGCCCTACTATTTTAGTCCCGAAATGGTGAGTGTTGTCTTCTGTCTTCTCTTCAGACTTGACGAGCAATCTATTCCATGGGATTCGTTTCCAGTGCGAGGGCAAGGAATATGACAATAAAAGTGACATTTGGGCGTTGGGCTGCATTTTGGGTGAGCTGTGCTGCTTGAAAAAGACCTTTGCCGCCTCCAATCTGTCGGAGCTGGTTACAAAAATCATGGCCGGCTCCTATACAGCTGTGCCACCTGGCTACACCTCGGGTCTGCGCAGTCTCATGGCCAATCTGCTACAGGTGGATGCAGCACGGCGACCCACTGCGTCGGAGGTGCTGGTGTATTGGATACCCTTAATATTTCGCAGTCTCGGCAAGAACAAAGGGTGAGTTGCAAATACGCCGGCCGAAATTGATGAATACCCCATCACTTACCCCCTAGCTACACCTACGAGGATAATGTGAGCAACAATGGCAGCTTGATAGCGGCGCCAACGTCACTTTTTGCTAGCTGCAGCAATTTAGCCATGGAGCTGCCCACGGCCCAAACAGAAACGAGGAAGCTTATGAGCGCTGAGACAGTTGCGCCCCATGAGGTTATAGAGAAGCGGTAGGTTATTAGACCAGGCAGAGCTGGTTTGATAATCGTGCTAGCTACTTTTGCAGGTCTGTCTTGTACCAGCTTAAATCCTTTGGCAACAGCTTCAGCATGAGTCCTATACAGCTGCCACCCAAGGCATTTATTGTCTGCGTGGCCATGAGTGAATCCCACTTTGTGGTCATTAACGATGATGGCTCGTCATATGCCTGGGGCGAGGGCACACACGGTCAGCTCGGCCTGACCTCGCTGGAGACTTGGAAACATTATCCCGGACTGGTGCAGAGTGTACGCAATTACCATATGGTCAGCGCTTGTGCCGGCGATGGTTTCACAATATTCCTAACCCAATCCGGTAATCTGCTGAGCTGTGGCAATAACATCAAGTTCGCTCTGGGCCAGGACGAACAGAAGGATTATTTCACTCCTAAGCTTATAGCCAAGCTGGCGGATGTGCGCATTGAGCAGATTGCCGCCGGCCTGCATCATGTGATGGCACTGGGTCGCGAGGGCGCCGTTTATGTTTGGGGCACCAGCGTGTCTGGAGCTCTGGGCCTGGGCAACCACCAGCAGCAGCAGTAAGTGAATTTTAATTAAACCGCAAGAGACACAGGCTCAGACACCCATTCCTGGCATTATACTCATCAGAAAGCATCCACAGAAGATTTTGTTGTCGCATGTCAAGAGCAAACCCTCAAGGATCTATTGCGGCCCGGACACATCAGCCGTGCTCTTTGCCAATGGCGAGCTGCATGTCTGTGGCAGCAACGACTACAACAAGCTGGGCTTTAACCGTCCCGGCAGGATTACAGCTTTTGTAGGCAATAACTAGCACAAATTATGGAAATGATTTCAAAAATCTTATTTTCTGAACATAGAAGAAAATACAACTGCCCTTTAAGGTGCTGAAGGCTTGCTTCTCGTCCACGCATTCAGTGTTCCTCACTGAAGGCGGCTATGTCTATACCATGGGTCGTAATAAGGAAGGACAACGTGGCATTCGGCATTGCAATGCAGTGGAGCAGCCCACACTGGTAGATACAATACGAGCACGTTACATTGTGGTTGGATACAGGTTAAGCTAGTTGCTAGGAGTCCACAATGAATCGTTTCTTTAATTCGTAGAAAGCGAATTGCAATGATCAGTGCACCATAGTTGCCTCGGAGGATAATATAATTACGGTGTGGGGCACGAGGAATGGCTTGCCGGAGATTGGTTCCAGCAACAGCGGCTTGGGCTTGGAGGTGTGCACACCCAATGCGGAAATGGAGTTGGGTAACAATACAGCTGCGTTCACCAATTTCCTGGCATCGGTCTACAAATCCGAGTTAATCACTGAACCCATGGATATATTAGCGTAAGTTAAGTTTTCAGAACCGAGGTCCATGTAAGCCATATGATTTACCCTGCGCAGGCTGCACTCATCCAAGGAACAGTGTGAGCGCGGTTACTATGTGCAGGTGAATGATGTATTTCCGCTGGCTCATAGCGTTTTGGTGATGGTAGAGACGACCACACCGCTCATTTCCTCCTTTGAGGGTTAACATATGGACAGATCCTTACCGGAAGAGCACTATTACCCATTGCTAGTTGAAATATCGTATATCGTATGTATCATGTCTTTATTTATCAAAATTAATAAAAGAGCTTTGTCTCATTTACTGGTAATACCCACGATTTCGCGCCTCCTCCACAATGCTTTGCACCGCAGCGAATGCCTCACGAGCTGTTGGCTCAATCTCTTTGGCCGGCAAGATGAACATGTCATCACTATCTGATGGACCGCGCAGCTCAAAAGTAAAGGTAATCGGCACCTTCAGGTGACTATGAGCCCAATCCTTTGAGCCACCGCTTGAAGGGTAGATGGTCTCATGTATGCTGCCACTCTTATAAACACGTCCAGTGAGTGCCTTTATGCGCGCCGCTGCCAATTGGCCGATCGCCTTGAGGTCTGCATAATTTTCCACACGCTCTGCCGTGTGACCATATGGGAACATAATGAGCTGCGAGTAGCTGTGTAGAGATAGATAGGTGCGAATGCGTTCCGGTTCGACATGCCCTTCCAAAAACTGTATAATGCGTTGAGTTTCCAGCTCGCTGGCAGCAGCTGGGCCAGAGTAATCATATTTACAGGGATTGCCACTGGCACCCGTTGTGTTCCAGCTCAATGGAAAATTGCGATTCAGATCGACGCCGCGACATATACCAAAAAGCTGGCGGTTCTTACGCCACATCCGATCCCCAGTGAAGCTATAGTGATACCCATCCGGATTAACCGTCGGAAAGATCAGCCAGTTATGAGAGCGAGCCATGGCCTGCACTAAGGTGTCATTGGAGTGTAGCAGCTGATCAATAAAATAGGTGGCTGTAGCAGGTGCAATCCACTCGCGTGCATGTATTCCACTCTCTATGAATACACTTGTCAGATTCTCGCCACCAAAGGCAATCTTTACTCCCTTGATGGGCAGACCTTGAGTGCTCAGACCCATGTCCAGCACCTTTACTACTTCAGGTTGCTCACGTGCCAACTTCTCTAGCCAGTCATAGATGTTGTCCAGCTGAAAGTAACGCTTCCAATCGAACTGATCCGCAGGCGTGCTCTCTGCTGCTACATCAAGGTAGTTGGCGTCTATTAGCTCCTGAAAGTTGTAGTTCAATATGCGATGGCTCACGTTGTAGCTATGCAGAAGATCATCAAAGTCGGCCACTTTTGGAGCGGTCACCATAATAGTTAGCTTCTGGCCAGGCACTCGCGCGTGCCCCATAAAGCTGCACGAATCGCTAGCCTCCTCCAACGCCTGGAAAAGCTCGACTTGAGTGACTGTGGCCAGCTCCACATTATATATGCGCGTATGATCGTAGCGTGCCTTGGCGGAAGGAGCAGCTGCGGCCTGAGATTCGACGCCTAATACACATTGATCAGCCTTGGTGCAGTGGCTCGCAGCCCGAGCACTAGGGCTGAGAACGACCAGGAGCAGAACAGATGAGAGAGATAACATGTTCACTCTGCAACAGACAAATTACGATTGTTTGGCAATTTTACCCTCGCTTATCAACTTCACCTTTGAGGGCATAATTGATTACAGATGAAATTATATACATACATGAATATGTGTATATTTTGTTAGTATGGGTATGTTAGCGAAGCAAGATTACTGTTTCTCCGTTGACTCCGTTAATGAGATCAAACAACGGGCAAATACAAATATTTTAAGTGTATATAAACATAAAGATACCAGCTTGTAAATTCAACTATGTTTTTTAAGTTAAGCATAATAGTTTTAGCTTAGTTTATAACGTAGTACATTTAATATCGTAATAAAAGCGCGCTTACGTATTTTTTTTTAAATTGTAAGCCGATAATTATAATTTCGATATTTTGAGCTTCCCTGTTTACAAAAACTTTCAAGAGCTGGTCACACTATCAGCTGTTTTCTTAAGAATAAAAACCAATGGAATCTCAATTTGATAACACAGAGTAAGTGCGCTTAAAGTATGGGGTTTTGCAGTTAAAATTACATATGTTGACAGCGAAAACTATTGGAACCGCTCCTCGAGAGCTGCCTTTAGCTTTGACGACGAAGATGACGTTGATCTTGGCGATGCCGGCGTCAGAGGAAGCTCAGGCCATGCCAGCCAGAGCAGTAAATGGGACAACAATTCAATATTTAATGACGACACCATTTCAGAGGACAGTTTTGATAATAGTGCAGCGCTGGGAACACTGAATCATCTCTCCATTAAAGCCATATTGAGCGATGAGGCGCTTAATCTGGTGTTACAAGAACAAACATTGGACGATCATGTCATGCCCAAGGGCGTAACGCCCGAGGAAGAGCTAAAGCTGTTGCGACGCCAAATACAAAGTACTCTTTACAGCCCCAATCTGGAGGTTACCGCACAGAAGCTACTGCATGGCAAAGTGGCACCATTGGAAATGTTCAAATCGCTGCTGGAGAAGCAACAACTGTTGGATAGGGTGCTGGCCAACGGTGGCGATGCGATAATTGGTGTGCTGCTGTTCCTCAAACGCACGCTGAACACAACCCAATTCCATAACATACTGCAGCAGCGGCCCAAGGCGCTGGAACACTATCTCAGTTACCTGCGGCAAAGCGGTGATGTGAGCCACTATATTGATATATTGCAGCGCTTTGGACGCCACCAGGAAGCAGCTCTCAGGCAGTTTCAAGCAGCCATGACCTGCAGTGAATTGACAACGCGAAAACAGCAGCTGCAGCGTCTGGTTGATGCGTATGCCAGCGCTGGTGTGGGCGTCATTTCACTATATGAGCAGGTCTTTCATGCGGCCTTAAAGCTGCAGCTGGTCAAGGAAAGGGAACCTGTGACTGGTCTGGCCCAACAAATAGGTGATGAGCCCACGCCCATTGAGTTTTTGTATGTATGCTGCGCGCAGAACAAGAACTGGAAGGAACAGGACATGCTTAAGCTTAGCTCACCCCAACGCTTTGCTGCCGATCAGGAAATCTCACCAGCACAGTATGAATGGACTGCGCTAAATGAACGCGCCCATGCACAAGCCTATGTGGATTTGGAATGCATCTTTGAGCGCGTTTCCGGTTGGAATCCGCTCAAAACGAAGCAGTTTCACATTAGCTTTGATTTGTCACTAGCCGTGCAGCGGCTCTTTGAGTTGCAGGCGCCTGCAACAGTATTACAGCTATTTCTCTCCAAGATGAGCAACAGTCCCGAAAAATTGGCCTTGGCGCAACGAGTCAAATGCATCAAAGCCGTCATTGATGCTATGGTGAGTCTGAAACAACAGCAGGAATTGCAGCAATTGAAGGAAACGCTACCTGAACGATCCGAGGAGCAGTTTTACTGCGAGAATGCGCTCAAATTGCTGCAAAGCAAACGTTGGACTACGGACAATATTAAGCTGAAGCTTTAGAAAGCCTAAGAACGTTTATATAAATGTATTTTTTATTACCTTTTTATGTATGTATGTAATTATTAAAATTTTTAAATATATATTTATATATATATATTAAGTAATCGCAAATCACAAGCTGAATATCAATCAAAAGTGTTTGTGTACCACGGAACGGTTAAGGATAACCATTTCGGTGTGTTGTGTCCTTTAAACATTTTTTTTTACGTTTATTTTTTATTTTATTGAGTAAACAAAAAGCGTGTATAGCCAATAGCAAACAAAGCACTACAAAAATTATATTCTTTAAACAATTTGTTTGCCTTAAATATTTTTCTTAAATAACATCGCTATGAAAGCTATTTATATAAATATGCGCAGAAAACCGCAAACAACAGTTATGTAATTAAGTATAAACATAAGTGGGCGGGTAATAGACAATATGTAATTTTTTTCCTTATACTATCATCTGAATTTTGTCGAATGGCTGCATCACAAGAAAATCCCCGAAGCTCCCTAGGTCTACCAATTTTCAAAAACAAAACGGTTGATGGCAAGGATGTAAACGTCTTTCCCCAGCAGCCCAAAAACTCTGAATATATTGCCGAGATTTTCGCAGATCGAAACAACATTCCTACAGTGCTCAGTGGGAATTTGCCTCCCACATGGCCAATTCCAAATCTAACGAGAAAACCACTGACTAACTGAGAAATTAACTAAAGATTGGAGCTCATACAGTGTCGGAACAATTTGAAGCATGTGGACTTTTGTTCTCAATTCCAAGTGTGGAGCGAGTCATAGGTTTGCAAAGTGTATAGATGAGAGATGAGATCTTGCGAACATACAACCATCCTGAGAAATTTCATAGTCCATAACAGCATTCTGGGTTCTCCTAGATCGACAAACACAATACTGGCTTCACAGACTTCTACTGCTGACCATAGAGGCTGCCCTATTTATGCTACGTGGATGATGAATTAGTGAGCTTGTAAGCTGCAGTTCTCAGCAGAATACAGAAAATTGAAAGCATTGCAATCAAGCCTAGGTTGGTAATACGGATGGAATAGTTGACGATGCAGAACAAGCTATCCATTGAAGACGGGGATGCACCACCAAGAATGGGAGATTCAGTTCCGACATATAGAAGATCAGTAAAATGATCGAGGCGATGACGGCTCCAATATTGGTGAGTTTGGGAGCATGGGTTGAGTTCAATTTAGTTGGTCAGCTGCCTTGACAAAATTAGACAGACAATTAGACAATTAAACAGTATTTCTAATATTTACTTATTTGTGGTGTTTGTGGGCGGGCACTGCAACTGACGCCATCATTGATCTTTGGTTTCCTGCTCGAACTGACAACAAATCGTAAAAACTTTGAAATTACAACAAAAAAACACGATAAACTTTCAACTTATGCAGAGTTGAATGTGAAAAATAACTAACAAAATTCAAAGCAAGAACCGCAAGTCCTTCGACCGACCCCATTGACCACGAAGCCAAAGCCAATGCTAATTGCTGCCACTGGCATCTTGATCACAATAGCTGAGCAGACGTTGGCACAGGATTGTCTTGAACTTAACTGTGAAACTATCAAAAATGGCATCAGTGTCCTGGAGCGCACTCGTCGATGGTTGATTGCTATCCGACGCCGCAATCAGCGACTTGAACTTCTGGTTGAGATTCTGTTCAAGTGCCGAGTTGTTGTTGTTGAAGTAAAATACATATGCCAGCTCTAGCAGATAATAATCCAGATCGGCCATAAAGTAGCGCTCACATTCGAGCATATCGAACTTGAACTCCAGAAAGTGCACACACATGTGATAGATAAGATACTTGAGATCGGAGCGATGAAGGGGCACATAGCCCGTGTCCTTGCTGAAGTACTCGAAAAGCTTAAGAGTACGCTGGGCGTTGTCGCAACTGTGCAGGCACAGCTGGAAGGCCTCTACGAATCTGAAATTGAGCATACAAATCCTAATGCGATATTCGTTGCGCTGCGCACGCGAGCATTCGGCTATTTTGTCCGGATTGTACAGCCCATGAAAGGCATATAGACAATAGTGTATATAATGGCGCAACGGTTGCAATGTAGAGACATCTGCGCCCTCAGAGCTCGGCGTGTAGGTGCTAGCATCGTCTCTATCGCCGAGCAAAGCAGCAGTGTTACAAGCCAAGCCCGTCGCTCCCTGATTTGGCAACGGCACATAGCTCTGCTCTTCCGGCGATAAGTCTAACTCTAGAGAGCTGTTGACATCGGCCAATTGCTGTGCATTGTATGAGTAACTAGCATCGTTGTGGCTTAGATTCTCCAGGCTGCTCAGTAAATCGTCTGAGTCCTGGCCAGTCCCCGCTTGATCTGTGCTGGACTTATAGTTGAGCGTTTCCGGTGAGTAGCGATGCTCAAAGCTTATATTAGCCTGCTGCAAGAAGTGCGGCTGATATGGCGGTATCACCTTCAAGTAACGCACAGGATCTTGGTCCAGACGAATACGAGGACGCGGTAAATTAATCTCCACAGGCGCCTCAACACACTGGGTCTCAAAACGCATTAGCCGCTTGGTGGTAGGCAAACACACGACGCGCTGTCGCATGCGATCCAGACTGGCGCCTAAATCGCGGCCGCATTGCCCGTTGGAGTTGCCACCAAAGGCCTTGACAATGTGATCGGTGGTCATGACAAGAGTAAAATCGGCGCCGCAATCCACGTACATGGGCCTCTCGATGCTGTCGATGGGTGATGGTTTAAGCACTGTACGGCGATCCTTGTCCTCGGTGCCCAGCTGATGCTCGAGATTCTTGCCCCATGTATACAACGTGCATGTAGACGATATCAATGCAAAATGAAACAATCCGCTTGAGACCTTTGAACGGCAAAACGATCTTAATTTATACTAACAATAACCAGAAATAACTGAATAACGTACCTGCAGTATTTGTCCAGCCACCTCGCTGGTATCTACTAGATGTGGCTTCATGTGCTCCGTTGGATCTGGTTCAGTACTAGGTTGTGCAATTGATGGCGCAGCCGTTGTCTGTACTGACACTGTGCTTGTTCTAATTGTTAAGTTAATATTTTCGCAAGCATCAGATGGCATGGCCTCATCCTCGGGACAATCTTTGGTTTCAGCACTAGACTTGGGTATAGCTCCTGCCACAACAGCTGCATAAGAAGTACTTGGCTCCACCAAGGCGCTGTTGTTGTTACTCGGTGGCAGCAACGTTTCCTCTAGCCGCTTGCTCAGCATCTCACGCTGTTGATTTTCCTCTAACTTTTGCTTGGCGTTGGCACGCCGCTTTATTTGATTGGCCAGACGCAGCGCCTGTGGCGAACTGCCCCAGGTGTACATGCGTTCCTGCTCATCTACAGCTAGCTAAAGCCAAATGAATAAGCCAGTGTTGCGCTAGTTTTATCCCATTTACTTACATTTGTAAAAAATTTCGTGTGTATCAGTCTTAAGCTGCAGTCACCCAGTTTGAGACGCAATGGCACACTCGTCTTCGTATCCTGAACCTGCTCAATGTTGCCAGTGCCCAGCTGGCCAAAATGATTGGAGCCGAACACAAAAAGCTCGTTGCCATTGCTATTAGCCTCTACGAAGTTGTTGTAGTTTGCCTGGCAAAGCACCAAACTGTGTGCATGCCCTAGCGAAATTTGTAAAATTTTCTATGGAATATAAGAAAATTTACTATAATTAAAAAAGTATTTAAAAATACATAATTTACACGCACCTTATACTTAAAGAAACTGACTAGTTTTGGTGTTGCGATGTTCTCGCAACTGCCATTGCCCAGCTGACCATAGATGCCCCAGCTAAAATCAACACGCTGGTTAAAAACGTTCTTTGCTATATTAGATATTATATCATACCCCCACATGTAGAGCTTGCCGTCAGCAACGGCTGCATTATGATATTGGCCTGCCTCCAGCATGGTAATGTTCATGCCATCCAAAGCTGTTACCAGCATAGGTTGTAGCGCCATTTGCATATGCTGTCCAACGCCCAGCTGGCAGAGACTATTATTGCCCATGGCATACAGCTATGGAAACATGAAATTGATAGTAACTTCCAAAAGTTAGAGCCAAAAAACCTACGCCATTATTGGTGAGTATAAGTGTATGCTGACGTCCACACTTGAGCGCATGTACTTCCAATTGAAGTTGCGAAAGCAGCTCCAATGTTTTCACAGCATGTGCAGGTTCCGGTGGTTCTGTGAGATATTTAATAAGTATCAAAAATTGAAATGAAATATGATATAAATGAACTGACCAGTTGACTTCTGAGCACTAAAGCAACAGGGCACGCCACTGGAGCCCCAAAAATAGGCCACACCATCCACAACACAGGCGCAATACGCGCAACCAGCTGAGATCGGCTTGAAACGTGATGATTCAATGGCAAACTAAGGCACACATACTATTTAGATAATAATGTTGTTTACTGGATCCTGCTGGTACTTGCCTGATTGTCCTCATAGTTGATGCGAAAATTTGATAAGGCATTTACAATGGAATCGTGCTTGACACGCTGTGACTCCAAATGAATAAGCACAGCCAAATAGGTTTCGATTAGGCATTTGCAGAACTCAAATATATGTTCATTATTGTCATTGTGGCTTGAGCTGCTGCTGTGCGACACAATGGGACGCAGTGAAGGCGCAAAAGGATTAAGCTGCATGGTGAGACGCTGTAAGTAACAAAACACATTTTATAAGTCACGACATTAAATAAGGTGCATCAAATCGTTTACCTGTAGCACGCAGGGTCTTATATGTTCCAGTTTATCTTGTATAAAGGTAAAGTAATCCATTGACACTTGCGGCAAATATGTGATTGTCTCCATAAATACATTCTCGCTTAGATTGTACAAACAGACGTTAAGTTCGTTGTACCAACCAAACTCCTGGGCAACAACGCTGACCAATGCATTGAAGGTGTCCAAACAAACACCACGCACTTTTGCCAAAATTATAGCGGCCGAAAAGAGTCCGCTCTGGCATAACACAATGCTGGTCATATTGGTGTGGTATTTAGTGTTAGTGACCAAAAAATTCCTGAATTAAAAGTTTACATTAAAAAAATGAGCATTGAAATTATATAGAATCAAACATACCACAAAGGCAGATAGTTCTTATCGTTTACAGCCTTCTCGGCCAATGTTATTAGCAGCAAATTTGCCAAATGAAACTGTGATGAGGGCGACATTTGCAAAGCGCTAATTGACTCATCGACACCATAATGATAATCGCTGCAGGAGGCCCCACTATTGACCACAACGTCTACAGGCTTCACTTTGGCTTGCAATATTTCGCGCACATCCTCCGAATGACGATAAGTTATATCCGATAAAAGACTCTTCAGCAACGGATGGCTCAAATAGTGCGATCGCAAAATATAAGATGACTTCAGGGCCATGGCGCTCAATTGCATCAGCGCATAGGTGTGTCCATACATGGCCAGCTTGAGTGCAGTGCGTATGGGTTTCACGCGCGCCACATTATATGTGATTAACGCCTGAGTAATCTTTTTGCGCCGCAACAAATAATCTCCAGCGAACTCAATGCAATGCTCAAAGGACAGATCAAAGGTGTTGCAAAACTCCCGGCATTGATTCCATTCGCTGAGCAACGCTGCGTCCAGAAAGAGTTCAAATGGTTCCTTCCTGTAATAAATAAACATAATATAAATATATGGATAATATAAATATTTGTGTACGCACTTCAGCTGTATGGTGTACACATTTTTGTTGGTTATAACATAGCAAGGATCATAGTTGATTTTTGGGAACTCTCCCTGCATAATCTCCATTTGCCTCAAAGAAAATTCATTACTACTATCCGCCGATTCATAAAACTGTACATAGTCCATAGGTGTGTGTATGTCTTTGATTTCAAATGCTTTTGCCTTTTCCTCCTTTGTTAGAGTTTCGGTAAGGTTGTTCCCGCCAAGATTCCGAAATTGCGCCATCTGATACAATTGAAGCACAGTCTCCTGCTCAAAGCGAAATAGTGCCAGCTGTGCCTGATGATTGAATCGCTGTGACGATTTAAAACATTAATAAATTTGAGTTCGATAAGCAGGATAGCATATCAGTACTTACATCATCTTCGGTGGTATGCAACGAGGCCATAGCGCTGCTGATGACGCTTACCGCATTGATGGCATTGGTTGGCATTTCGCTTTGATCGATGCTACATGCGCTTGTGGTTGTAGCGCTTGTCTCGTCGCTTTTGTTCGTATTACCCGGCTCCATATGCTCAAATTTTTCAGTGTCTGCATCTAAGCTCTCTTTCTCGGTGTTCGCCACCAGTGGCTCTTCCAGCGACGTTGCTGCCGTAGAAGCGCCTGAATCACTGCGACTGTTTAAATCCACATATTGTATACCATACAGTATGTTGGAGCTAATGAGTATGTCCACACAGTGGTTGGGTATCTTGTACAAAAACAATGGCTTCAAAGTAATATCAATTCTGTGCACGGTCAGGCTGCAGCTGCTGCTATGCAAAGCGCTCAACAGATAAGTGCTACGCAGATTTTGTATGGTATAAAACGAGCCGTTGGTGTTGCCCAGTGGCTCCGGTGTAACTGATGGCGAGTCCATAATAGCAAATGTGCCCATATTTGTCTCTGGCATAACTGTAATTAAATATTGAATAGAATCAGTTGGAATAATTAGGATTCAAAGTGTTGACAGCACGTACATTCATCTATCTTTTGTCGCTGATCGGAGAGGCGCAATTTGATAGCCTGCAACTTCTTGGAGCCCAGGCTTTTGAGCGATGCAAGGCGTGCCCGTGTAGCTGGCAAAATGCCATCGAAGCTATTGACGGCCAACTGCTGCTGCTGGAAGCGCACACCACTGCTTTCGGCATAGGATGGCGGCGACGGTGGCATTTGCAGGTTGGCATCACTGGTTGCCATATTAGATTCAGCACCACCAGCAGTGAGTGGAACTGTTTGTGTGCTTGGTGCGATTTCATCGCTGGCAGGTGGCGCAAATACATCCTCCTCTAGCTGGCTGCTGTCCGAGGCCGGATCAGAACTGTTGCTTTGGCGCGCAACGTTTCCGGCAGCGTTTTGATGCTTCGAATGTACAGACATGACAATCTGCCAGGCGCCCTCGCGTGATGTAGGCGAGCTATCACCAGGATAGACATACTTGATGGCTTTTTGCTCGAGCAGCAGCTTGTATTGAGCCTTAATTGACGATGTGATCTGACAATGGCAAAACAAAATGTTTGAGTTTGTTTATTTGTGCATTAATAGGGGCAGCTTACCAGCAACATGACCCCATCAAATGTATTATCCTTGCAAACTGTCAAACGCACCACGGACCCATTTTGAATGGATGTGCTGGCTATCATTGGACAATTTGGACTAAGCCCCACAAAGCATATGGATCCATCTGAGTAGCCAATAATGGCGCGATTTAAGCCATAGTACGTCTTCCACCACACGACAGATAGCGGATAGGGACATGTTTTGGATGCCATAAACGACGTAGCCATCACTTGACTGTTGCCCGTAGTATCAAAGGGCGGTGCTTGCACTTGGACGGCATGCTCCGTAGCAGACTCTACCGCAGGACCATTGCCCAACAAATGATCGGGCAATTCATGACACAACGGCTCCTCGTCTACATTATCAGCCTCTTTGTCCAGCTTAACATGCTGTAGCTGCTCTGCCAACTGTTCCGAATTCCACTGCTGTTCAAACGCCTCGTCCCGTGCCGTAGAATGATTAGGGCATTTCTTCGAATTGGGGCACTCGTGCGGACCAACAAATGGTATTATATAGGATGTCACCTGTGTGGTGCTGTACAATGAACAGGCGGACAAATCGTGCGTCTTGTCTACTAGAGAGAGTGCGGGCACAATATGCAGCGTGTTGTCGAAACCTGTTGATAGGTAAGGAAGGCATGGTAATAGCTGGGTTCAGTAACACTTTAATGTACCTGTCCCCTACATTCACCGACCGTTCAAGAAGCAGCCAATCAAAACAAAATATGCTAAAGAAAATCAATAATGTAAATCGCGTACATATGTACACACACACACACGCACACACACACACACACCGGGCCACTACGCTCCCACCCACAGCATCAAAAGTAATTTTAGGCGTCACTATGTGTAGCACCTTATCAGCAACCCCATCCCTACCCCCAACTCATGTCCTGCCCGACGTCACATACTTACACAGAACCAACAGCCAAATGCCCGCAGGATCGAAGCAGACATCGTGTATGACACGATTGGTGCGCCGGAACCAGGAGATCATCTTGAGGACCTCTTGGCTACCGCCAGCGCTGATATAACGCAGCACAATCTCATTTTCCTCGCTGACCAGGCACAGGAATTGTTTTTCATCGAATGGTGCTACTGTGACGGTGGAGAGCTTACAGCTGAAATTCGTAATAAGCGGACGAAGCTCAAAGATTTGCAAGTCTTTGAGCTCGGCACGCCCATGCACCGCCATCACTTGAAGTTTTTTGGTCGCTTGACGCTGACGGACCTGCTTACAGCGTTTCTTTTTTGTTGCACAAATCAAATTTTAATTTTTTGTACTATTGCCATGTTTCCATAGCAAACATTTGGTATCGCATCTAAAAACTATCGGCAATATGCGATAAGCTGTTTGCAGGGAACGCATCCAAATTAGTACATTATGCCATCAAATGTAACCTTAACAATTTTGACATATTTTAAATAAAAAAATATCGTATTTGCTTTGTTCAGAAGTCAATATCATACTAGACATAATTTCAAAATTAACAAAAGTATCGATTTGTCATAACCGACTTTTGACTTTCGGCCTAAATCTGCGTTTGTTGATGGAAAAACTGCTAAATAGCCAAAAAGAATATACTGTATTAACTTCTAAAGATCTCTGATGTTAAATAAACTGTTTTCTATTATCAAGTTCCGAATAAAAAAGTTATCAAAAACTAGTCTCCTAGCAAGAAATAGTTTCCTATCCAAAATACAGTGTTAGCAAATGCTAAAGTTGCAAAAGTAAAAACCTAAATATTTTGACGAGGTGGCAATATCGATATTTTTCATGCATCTCTACAATCAAAATTAACGGCGGGAATGGAATTTTGGCGTCGCTTGTTTTTACCGATCGACGAATTTGAGTTTAAAACACGGATCAATTGATAAATTAAACAAATCAATAATGGAATCACGTCTGCCAAAGCCATCTGGGCTGAAGAGGCCAATGTCTGCGATAAAACAAACTTTACCAACTGATCGCAATAAAGCGCTGATGAACAACATGAATGCAAATACAACATACAGCGGCCCAACAGCTCAGCCACTTACCAGAGACTTGCAAAACATTCCTCAAGCATCCCTGATGCGGCTAGGCGGTAAGTTAATAAATTATCCATTGCAACTGGTTATTAACAGCGCCAATAAAAACAGCTCGCGCCCTTTCACCGGAGCCGAGGAAACCAATGGGCATGCAAAATAGGTCTAAATTGCGGCGTAGTCGCTCTGCTTGTGACATCAGCGAGATACGGCAAAATCTCAAGCGGATCGGTGCACCTAATCTGTCAACCATACCGTCAAAAGTAACACGGCATGCCAACAGTACAATGACTGCGAATACGGCAACGGGCTCAGAGTCAACCACAGGTATGTGTCGCACTGCCCGTGCAGGTTCGGCACCAGCCAGGCGGCTAAATGTAGCAGCAACAGCTCCGGCAGCGACAACGCGTCCGTTGCCGCGGACAGCTGCGTCGACGAACAAAGCTAAGCCAGCTACGGGCACAGCCGGTGGTGGTGCAGCAACTGCTGCACCTAAGCGCATTGCCCCTTATGACTTCAAGGCACGCTTTCATGATCTACTGGAGAAGCACAAAGTGCTTAAATCCAAATATGAGAAGCAAGTAGATGACATGGGGGAACTTGAGTCGCTGCCCACGCAGCTGGAGGAATCTCAAACGAAACTTATTCAAACGGAGTCAATGCTGAAACATACTCAGACAGAAAAAGAGTGTCTGCAGCGGCAATTAAAACAACAAGTAGAAAGGATCGAGACAATAACTAGCACGTTGGGTCGCACAAAGGATGAACTAGATCAGTTGAAGGTTGCGCATCAGGTAAGCCGCTGAAACATTGTATGGCCTGGTAATTATTTTCCAATTTGCTTTGCAGAGTATCAAAACCGATCATGACAACCTCTCCACAGAGGTGTTGGATCTGCGTCTTAGGAATGAGGAGCTGATGCGCAGCAATGAGCAGTTGGCTGCTGATCTGAGCACATGCAGGGAGCAGCTGTTCCAGTCGAACATAGAACGAAAAGAACTGCATAACACAATTATGGATTTACGTGGCAATATACGAGTGTTTTGTCGTGTGCGTCCGCCGCTTGATTTTGAATTGGGACGTTTGTCCTGCAGTTGGACGTACCACGATGAGGCAACAGTGGAGCTACAGAGCATAGATAGCCAAGCGAAGAACAAGATGGGCCAACAGATATTCACGTTTGACCAGGTGTTTCATCCAAACTCAACACAAAACAACATATTTGAAATGGTTGCACCATTAATTCAATCTGCCCTGGATGGCTATAATATATGCATCTTTGCCTACGGCCAAACGGGTAGTGGAAAAACATATACGATGGACGGCGTACCCGACAATGTGGGCGTTATACCACGTACAGTTGATCTGCTGTTTGACTCCATCAAAAACTATCGCAATTTGGGCTGGGAATATGTTATTAAGGCGACTTTTTTGGAAATATATAATGAGGTGCTTTACGATCTGTTGAGCGACGAACAAAAAGAAATGGAGATCCGTATGGCCAAAAATTCCAGCAAGAATGACATATATGTGTCTAATATAACTGTGGAAACAGTCACGGATCCCAATCATTTAAGACAACTCATGGAAACTGCCAAAATGAATCGCTCCACGGCTTCTACGGTGGGCAATGAGCGCTCGTCACGATCACATGCGGTTACCAAGCTAGAATTGATCGGCCAACACGCAGAGAAGCAGGAGATGTCTGTGGGATCGATTAATCTGGTCGATTTGGCTGGCTCAGAATCGCCTAAGACCAGCGTAAGAATGACGGAAACCAAAAATATAAATCGCTCGCTCTCTGAGCTAACAAATGTTATTTTGGCGTTACTCCAAAAACAAGATCATATACCCTACCGCAACTCAAAACTAACACATTTGTTGATGCCGGCGCTGGGCGGAAATTCTAAGACCCTGATGTTTATTAATGTATCACCGTTTCAGGACTGTTTCCAAGAGTCAGTCAAATCGCTGCGCTTTGCTGCCTCCGTTAATTCTTGCAAAGTGGCCAAGGCAAAACGCAATCGTTACTTGAACAATTCCACGGCTAACAACAGCAGTTGCGAAAAGTAAATACTGGCATTTCATATACGAGATTACAATTATCTGGATCGACAGTTTTTTGTAAATCTTTTTTATCAATTTACATGCACAATCTTAATTTTACTACTGTCTGTTATCACTTAATTTATAAAGGTGTATGTTTAGTGCAAAAATAAACAAATAAAAACAACAACGATTAAAGTGTAATTTTTTAGTTGTGGATTGTTTGTTTACATGGCTCCCACGGCCTGCCGCACTTCAAGAGGAATCTTCTCCACTAGCTCTTTGTGATTATTCCCGACGCTGGCGAGCACACCCCTGCTATTCACGTGCTCCACATCTGCATGATATTCATAATGTTCGCCATTGATATTAGTCAGGGTGCCGCCATTTGCCTCCAACACCGCCTCCGGTGCGCAAGTGTCCCATTTTTTGCATCCTGGCGTAGCAAATACATAAACATGCGCCTTTCCCTCAAGCAGTTGTAGCACCTTAAAGCCAGCGCCGCCTACCTTAAGCACTTTGCTGGCATTGAAGACATCCACTGCTTTTTGATGCAGCGCATTGGAATGTGAACGAGTCGTTGTGATGATGAATTCACCCGCTGGCGGTTTCACAGGAGTGAATCCTCCAGTACCAAGCCCTTTAAGACCCCAAATTGTGCGGCCTAGCTCTCCGCTGGATTGCTTGTAAAAGGGCTGATGAATAATGCCACCCACAGCCGAGTTTTTAATAGCTATGCCAATGAGCACAGTAACATGTTCCACATAGCCTAGGGTGGAGCGACCAGAATGGAAATCAATATAAGTTAGATATTAACACAACATTTTCGGCTTACCTTGTGTATACTCCGCAGTGCCATCTAAGGGATCGACCCATATGACAAAGTCCTCCGGCTTGGCATCTTGCCATGCCGCCGGGCAGTTTTGCTTCAGGAATGCTTCGTCCTGTTCACCGACCAGCCAATCATCGCATACATTCAAGTCGGAGCCGCCCTCTTCGCCAATAATTTTAATGCTGGGAAATTTCTTCGTTAGCGACGCAATGATGCACCGCTGAGCAGAACGGTCCGCCTCAGTTTGCGGATCATTTTTTCCCTTGTCCACGATGCCCAAATCGCCCTGCTTCAGAACATCGCGTATGATGATGCCGGCGCGTTTTGCAGTGTTGATGGACAGCGCCATTATTCGCATTATAAGTGGAGCGTTTGTGGCCATGTTAAAGTCTCAACTAGTTTTAAATTTGGAATGGAGTCTATCTCGAAATACAGGTACCTTCACTGCTTTCGTAAAAGATTTGGCAAATCAGCTGGGGCAACAGCGGTCAAGCAGAGTACGAAACTCACAACCTTTGCGGGTAAAATATACGAGCAAAATTCAATTTTCCGTAACTAATATTTAATGAACATGTTAAAATAAATTATAAATAAAAAAAAATCAAATTAAACAAATAATATTATGGACAGAATTGCTAAAATATTATTTTTGCAAAACATCTGTATAGAGGTCAGCATACTATTTACTGTAACTACACGATCAGCATACTTCCCTACAGTCTGGCCACATCATTCTGTGTCTGGCAACGCTGTCGCACACACAACCTTTGGACCCCCAACCACCCCCTTCATATTCAACAATATCTGCTGCTGCTCAAGAGGTAAATTAGCATAGCGCACGATTAATAATTAATAAAAATTTTCCAATATTGGTTAATTTTGATTTGTCGTTAATTAGAAAATGGCTCGTGTTTTGGTTGGTGTAAAGCGTGTGATCGACTATGCCGTTAAGGTAAGTGTATGAAGGAATCGTTTGTTTCTTCCTCTTATCACTTGTTGCGCTTCGTTTTGCGTAATCGTTTTTATTACACTTAATTAATGTCTTTCGATTGAAATTTAGGTGCGCGTTAAGCCCGAAAAAAATGGCGTTGTTACCCAAGGTGTTAAGCACTCAATGAATCCCTTCGACGAGATTGCCGTCGAGGAGGCCGTCAAGCTCAAGGAGAAGAAGCTGGCCGGTGAGATCATTGCCGTGTCTGTGGGTCCAGCCCAATCGCAGGAGGTCATACGCACCGCCTTGGCTATGGGCGCAGATCGCGGTGTTCACGTTGAGGTGTCAGCAGCCGAATACGATCTGTTGCAGCCAGTGCATGTGTCCAAAATACTTGCCAAGCTGGCACTGGACGAGAAGGCGGATCTGGTCATACTGGGCAAGCAGGCTATTGATGACGATGCCAACCAGACGGCTCAGATGACTGCCGCGGTGCTGGACTGGCCTCAGGGCACATTCTGCAACAAAGTTGAGAAGACGGATGCGGGTCTGACGATTGTTCGTGAAATTGACGGCGGCCTGGAGACCATCAAGACCAAAATACCAGCCGTCCTCAGCGCTGATTTACGCTTGAATACGCCGCGCTATGCCACGTTACCTAACATCATGAAAGCCAAGAAGAAGCCACTGAAGAAGGTGACACCCAAAGATTTGGGTGTTGATACCTCGCCACGCATTGAGATTGTCTCCGTTGAGGATCCGCCAGTGCGTCAAGCGGGCGCTGCTGTTGCCGACGTAGATGCTCTGGTGGCCAAGCTAAAGGCTGGTGGCCACATCTAAGTCGACACCCAATCAAAATTGTGAGCAAAATTCTACGTTCTATATCTTACTACTTTCTATCAGAAACGTGCATTTATCTAGCCACTAAAGATTGATTCCCCATGTGCGCGCCGAGTGTCCCATAGTGCTTTAAGTGAAATTAAATGTCTGTTTTTGGAATCTGTCGTGTCAAGCCTTAACGAATAAATTGAAGTGAAGCAACTACGAAACTTGCCACGAGGTCAGCCACTGACCAATTTTGTCACACATCCGTCTATTCCTTTTCAGCGGACGTGGCTCAACTTGACGCACCAAATCAGCACCCATTTAATTCGCTTCGTTCTTTTCTTGCGGTTGCGCTCGTTCTTATATGGCATGATCGAGTCAGAGGCGAAGGTCAAATGATTTGTTTTTAGCTCTATATATTTTATTTCCAAATCGAACTAATTTTTTTTTGTTTTTTGCTTAAATTATATTGAGTAAATACATAAATATGTACGTATATAATATGTATAAAAAGGTAAAATTCATTATTTTTGCTTATAAAAGATATAGAAAGCTGATGTAAAATTGTAAAATATGGACAATGGACACTTAGTAGAAATAGATAAAGACATGGCAGGAGCTGGCAATTTCGTATGAAATTACTCTAATAGTACTATCTTTAGATAATTTCAATTTTTAGAGTTTGGATTAATTAAGTTATTTGTGATTCATTTGTTTCTTTTATAGCTTGAGCGTCTCATATATAACATTTTATATCACACTGCCCGCAGCTGCACGAACACCAACAGAGGAGTTAATCAGCTCTAGCAACTAATTAGAATGAATCGTTAATTAATTACGTCCAGCCGGAGCTTTTTCCTTATCGCTGAATAGCAATATGCGTGTCAGCATTGTGGTAATACAGGGTATTTGCTTCTGCTGATGCATATCTGGTGTGTCCGGTGTGCAGGACTCGAAGTCAACAGCGACACGCTGGCAGACGAACGTGAGCAGGGTGAGAATGTCCAGACGTTTGCCGTTGGCGGCCAGCTCAGCGCACAGACTCTGCATGAACCAGCTGCCGCGCGTGGTGTTGCGCCATGAGTAAAAGCCCGGTATGGTGGAATAGGCAATCAAAAAGTCCGCATGGATGGGTATCTTGTAGCTCATTGAGGAGTCGCCGTCGGTTTCGGTGCGACCGCGTTGCATTGTGACACCCGTGTCCAAGCGGTCGCCCTGGCAGGCCTGTATAAAGAATAGCTTGGGTTTGCCAGCCAGCGTGGGGCAGTGATTGGCCGTGAAGTGGCTCCAGATATTGTCCAGCTTGTACTGAGTATCCTTCGCATAGATGTAGCCCATTTCGCCGTGTGAGAGTATGGCCACGAGTATGCAATCGTTGTGCTCGTGATTCTGCGATGACACATACTTAATTGTGCTCAAAATCTCCGGGTATCGACAGTCCTTGTACACAGAGACATCAAAGTCCAGCTGTTTGAGCACACGTGACAGATTCTCACAGTCCACATTCGTACCAGCACGGGACTTCAGTGTGGGCACCTCGAAATGTTCATGATTGAAGATGATCGCCATGCCGCGATTCTTGTGCCGCATGTTGTACTCGGCAGCATGTCGATCGGTGACCATTTTGGCCACATATTTGTGATAGCTGGACGAACTGTACCCGTTTGAGGCCAGCTGCCCAATGGCGCCGCTGCCATAACTGTTTTGTTTGTGAATTGCGGAGGTCGATGCGCTGCCGCTGCTGCTGCTGTTGCCCACAGAGCCAAAGGCATCGGTTATATCGTCGGTGTTGGTGGCGACCTCGACTCGTATGCCTACCTGGTCGGTGGACTCGATTTCGTTGTTGCTATTGTTGTTGGCGGCCATTGTGATTATTGGCTGTGAATTTTTTGATGAGTCACACGGCTGGTTTTATGTCCAGGTAAACAGTAAATAGCAAACAATTTTCACTAATTATCCCTTAGGTCAAAAATTTGTTAAATTGCACGTTGCGGGCACTTGTTGTTGTAACAAAGGAATGCGACGCGAAACTGCAGCGCACTTCAGTTGCAGTTTTCTAGTTTGTTGCTCTCTTTGTTTGTTTTATGTTATGCATTTTGCACACAACAGCTTAACAGTTCGCTGGACTGTTAATAACAGCGTGCAGTATTTTTTTTATCAGTATCAACCGTTACTAGTTTTGAAAAAAAAATTAAAAACGTAAATTGCATATGTAATAGAGTACAAAATGGTATATTAATAGTATATTGGTAAAAGTCAAACTTATTAGTATTCCTGCAAGACTATATCCAGTTAAAATTTTAATTTAACAGCACTAACTGTTAAGCTAACATCGCAGTTGAGCAAGCCAAAGAAACCCGCGCACTGTAAACTGATATAAAACATATAAGTACTTACCAACGGTGTGGTGAAAAACAGTTGCAGCTGCTCGGGGTGAAATTTGAATACTATGTAAACTAACCAATCAATATCAATGATCTTCATCAAATAATTGCAATCATCTTCAACTGTATTGTAACTGTGGATACATTTGCAAATCCCGACAATATATTTTTCAATATGTGTTTTATTGTCAATTCTGTACAGAATTCACATACATATGCACATGGCTCTAATCGTAATCAAATGCCAAGCCGCTTCCCCGCAAATGTTGCTCGGACCATGAATCAAATCTCTTGGAAATTTAATCAGTCATGTGATTTCGCCAGTCGCCAACTTTGCCTTTGCGTATGAATTTCGTCTCCCTCTGCGTGCAGTATTTTTTTTTAACAATATCAACCGCTACTAGTTTTGAAAAAAAAAAAATTAAAAATGTAAATTGCATATGTAATAGAGTACAAAATGGTAGATTAATAGTATATTGGTAAAAGCCAAACGTATTAGTATTCCTGCAAGGCTATATCCAGTTTAAATTTTAATTTAACAGCACTAACTGTTAAGCTAACATCGCAGATGAGCAAGCAAAAGAAAACCGCGAACTGTAAACTGATATAAAACACATAAGTACTTACCAACGGTGTGGTGAAAAACAGTTGCAGCTGCTCGGGGTGAAATTTGAATACTATGTAAACTAACCAATCAATATCAATGATCTTCATCAAATAATTGCAATCATCTTCAACTATAATTGTAACTGTGGATCCCGACAATATATTTTTCAAAATGTTTTTTTTGTTAAATATGTAAGCAATTCACATACATATGCGCATGGCTCTAATCGTAATCAAATGTCAAGCCGCTTCCCCGCAAATGTTGCTCGGACCATGAATCAAATCTCTCGGACATTTCATCGGTCATGTGATTTCGCCAGTCGCCAACTTTGCCTTTGCGTATGAATTTCGTCTCCCTCTGAGGAAGTTCACGCTCCAGATTGATGGCTTTATTGTTTTGCATGCTGTCGAACTTCAAATGATCGCAAATGCGCGCCATGTTGGCTTCGTTGAGAATATTTGAGGCGTCTAGGAATTGGGCACAGCGTCTTACCACCGCGGGCAAATCGCGAATCATGTCCTCGTACTTAATAAATAGGACATTATCATCAACGCTACGCTTCCAGAAGGGCAGCACATGCTTCCAGTACGAGCCCATGGGCGTGTGGCCGCCCAGAAAGAGCTCCACGAATTGCTCAAAATCGCCATTGATTCCATGGAGCAGCTTGCAATAGTGATAGTAGGAGACACACAGATCTTTGGGATTGCGCGCGGTGTACACAATTTTTGGCTTGACGGTCTCAAATTGCTCTGGCAGCAGCTGCCAGGACAGATGCGAACGTGCATACCGTGGGCGTGGCAGATTGCGCACCAGCTCAACTGTGTTGCCAAAAGCATCCCTGTGAAATGTGCAGGCTCAGTGGAGTTACCTTGCGCAAAAGGAAAACCATAGTCTATACGTACGCCACCCACTGATGATGGTCCGTGCTGAATAGTGCGGATAGCTCAATCAAGGGTGCACGTATACGCAAATCCTGCTTGGCAGCCTCGAAGTCCAGCTGATGGCCTAGCAGCCAGACCATCTCTTGGGCCCATGTCGAACCGGTACGTGGGTACGACACCATCCACACATCATCTTCATAGACGGGCAAATTGCGTATCGATTCGCCGAGCTCTATATATTTGCGTGGTATGATCAGTTGATCGGGCAGCACCTCCACAAAGCAATCCTGCGCCGGAAATATGGCATTTGTGCGACGCACAATATCCGCATCCAGTTCCCGATATACAAGCTGCATGGCATAAGGCGTTCCTGCTACCGTTGGCCTGCAATAGCTGCAGTCGACTGACTCCAGCTCCAAGTGTGAAAGGAAAGTGAGCCCAAGAGTGCGGTGAAAGTGACCGTAACGTGAATCCAGCTAAGCTGCCCGCAATTTTAACTTGTTTGCGCCAAACCGGCTCAGTGCAATCGCATCAGCTAAGCCTGCCACATTCAGCCCTGCCCAAACCCATGCTCTGCGAAACCCAACTGGTCATCACTTATATTCACACATACTTCTCGAACAGTTGACACGAATTGTTCTAATGTGAGCCTTATTTATACTACCATTAGATAAATGAATTCTTGACTCTCGGTTTTCCCTAACCTATATGAAACTAATTTATTTTAAATCAAGTCTGAAAATATTTGCAGAAACTTGGCTTGGAAACTGTATAAACAATAATGTCCGGAAACATAAGTTTTGGATGAGCTAAGGACAATAAATATTACATGTTCATACAGCTAGTTGGGATCGGGAAACCTAACCATATACGCAAAATATATTTCTATATAAAAATATAAACGAATATATAAAAAATATATATATATATAAGCATACATCTTCAATACATCTTCTAAAATGGATAGGCAATAACCGACTACTATTGGATATTGGATTAAATAGATGAAGAATCTCTCTAAACAGAGTTTAGATTATTTCTGTACATTTATATTGTTGCCCTTGAAAATGACTTAATCTAAATATGTACCAATTAAATTAAAATTTATTGCAGTTCGTAATACTATGTACACTTGAAATCTTGTTTTTGTTTTGTGAATTACAACTAAATCAATCTAATGAGCACTCGTTAACAGTTACGTTGTTAGTTGGAGCAACTACAACTACAACTCGTTGTGTAGATATTCCGTGGTCACCTTGGCCTCGCCCTCATGGAAGCCATTGCAGTCGACTGGATATTTCACCTGTGTAAAGATTGGTTTTGTATTTGCAGCATCAATTAGAATGA